GGCCTCGGAGGAGACACGGGGAGCCAAGGAGAGCCCTAAGATGGTCCGCCAAAGACTGCCCCAGTAGGGCCGAAGAGGGCTTACAGAGGAGTCCAAGCTCCAGGATGGCCTCACGAGAGTGGAGGAGGACGGGCCTATATTGGCCCATGATTGTCCCAAGAGGACACACGAGGACCTCACGAGGACCCAAATCCACATAGCCCCATTACAGCCCAGAGATGGCTGCGCCAGAGCCCCGCGACGGGCCATGAATCGGCGATGGAGGTAGAAGAAGAGGTGGAGGAGGAGGAGGAGGAGGAGGAGGAGGAGGAGGAGGAGGAGCCGCCCAGCTGCCCACCCACATCACTCGCTCTCTCCGTACCTGCGCAGGCATCCTCATCTTTATTCCCTTCGTTCCTCTTCCTCCCTCCCCACTCGTCCATCATCCGTCCTCCCTAGCAGACACCACTGCCACTCCGCCCCACGGCTCGTTCTGGCCTCCCACACGCGCACCGATCTGGCCCACTCCCTGAGAACTTGCCTGACGGGTCGGGAGCCCATGGAGGGCCTCCAGGGTCCAAAAAACCGCGACGGAGGACCGCTTGCCTCCATGACCCCTTTCCTTCATGCTGGTCCCCGCGAGGGACAGCTCATTCCCACTCCCTCCGCGCGGCCCGCCCTCCCGACGCTGATGGAACGACAGAGCAGCTCGGAGTACAGCAGGTGCGGTGCGCGTCGTGTCAACGCGGCGACCTTAGCGCAGGCGTTCAGGGCTAAATCATGAAGCATAATACAACCCCTAGCCCCAATGACAAAATGAACTCGTGAACTGATTTAGGTAATCGGTTTACGGGGTTACGTATCCCTAAATTTGTGGGTGGTTTCGTCTGAGACACCTACAAACAAGCCTCTCTATCCCGCATGTTTTTGGCCCTCCTAACTTTGGTGGGCCCCCTCCCGAATCAGTAGGTGTTTTTTTTGTCTTTAGACGCCGGCATCGAAAGATCTGCGCTGGTCGGCAAGCCGCGATCCCCGGGCATCCTCCGTTGTGATGTTTCCGCAGCGTGATTCCCCAGAGGTCTGGACCCCTCCCCGGACTGGCTCTTCATCCTGAGTCGTTTGTGTTGACGGTCCCGGTGCCTGGCGAGGGCCACCAGAGGCTGGAAACAAGCAACAAACCCGGATCGTGATTTGTTTCACGGCGGGAGGATGCCACGGTCGTTCAAGGTCGAACGATCCGCGCGGTGCCACGGTCCAGGGCGCGCGCGCGTGCCGTCGCGGCGCGAGGCCGCCGCGCCTTGGCGGCCCCTTCTCGAGTTCTCAGTGGTGCCTTGCCGCCACCCCCCCGCGCGGGGTGTTCGTCATCCGTCCTGATTCGCCGCCGCCGCGGCCGCGGCCGCTGCCGCCGCGGCCGTGGCCGCCGCCGCGCCGCCGCCGCCGCCGCCGTCGTCGCCGCCGTCATCGTCGTCGTCGTCGTCGTCGTCGTGGTCGTCGTCGTCGTCGTCATGGTCGTCGTCGTCGTCGTGGTCGTCGTCGTCGTGGTCGTCGTCGTCGCCCGGCTCTCGCCCGCAAGGTTTCCGCCGGACCTGCGGGAGCTACCCCCGTCGAGCTGGTGCTCTCTGAAGGCGCTGACGGAACTGGACTGGCGCGCGGCGTGCCAGGTGGCCCCCCAGCCGCCACCACCCAGACATTTTCAACCGGCAGGTATCGGATCGGCTACGCGCAAGAGTAACCTTGCGCCAGGTGTGACCTCTGGTGTGGGCCCAGTGGGGCTCCCCGATCGCTGAATGCGATGCGATGGCAGCGGCTTGCGCGTCTGGCTGTGCCCCCAAAGGGTCCCCCCCCAAAGGCCGCGAAATAAAGGTAATTATTTCAGTCGGGCATGTCCCTCTACAGGAGGAATATCCAAAAATGTGCAACAAGAATATGGGGACGATTTTTCGACTATGTTTGTTCATCTCTGAAATTTGTTTCGACTATGTTTAATATATCGTCCAGTAACCGCCTGTAGGAGGACATGACCGACATAATCCTAGGGTCATTCTCGCGTGTAGCCGAAGGTCATGGTTTGCAGTGCCGGCGGGGTTCAGCCGGGAGCGAAAGATCCTGCGGGGTTTTGCCGAGCCAGATGTTGGCTGAACCTGGTCTGGGAGACGCTCGTGGCCCTGAAGGCGGCCCGGCATATCTCAGCGGGCGAAGAACGATATGACATAATTTGTTTCGCCGTCGGGGACGCCTGCCCGTGGGCGGCTGGAAAGTTTATACCCCTACGGTGCCAGCGCAAGGGCTGAGCCGCCTTTGGCAGCGCAGTGTTGTGTCCTAAATTGGCTGAGCCCTGTTTGCGCTGAGCCGGCTTGGTCCACGCCCGAGCACCTCGACGTCACGGTGCTTTGATGGTCGAGGTTCGAGGATCGTCGGCGGCCTGCGCAAAACGGGAGTGGTGAGAGCGGACGGCCCCGTATGAAGGCGGGGGAGCTTCCGAGAAGGCGGGGGCCATGTTAGAAGGGCCCTGTCGGCTTGCAAGAAGACTCTTGATTTTCCAAACTTGGTTCAATTTCTTTCAACAGTTCCAACGTCCTGGCGATTTTTCAAGTCTGTCAACTTTCAAACTCCCAGGTCTGGGCGCACGTTGCCCAAACTTCAAAGTCCGGTCAAACTCACGCTCATACTTCGCCCACTTCGCGATTCATTTTTTCATACTTCTTTCAAGCTTCGGAAGAAACCAGCATTTCAACAGTTTGCCTGTTCTTGGGCGACATAAGCCTTGGGCATCGCCGCGAGCTGCGAGGGGCGGCGGCAGGGGAGGCGTGGGCGCAAGAGTGCCGAGCAAATGGCGCATCATCATGCGTGCGCACGGGGCATTGCACTACATCCTGCTCTAATTTCTAGGCTGGCCGCCTACTTTGCTTGTCCCCGATCCTCTAGCAGCCACTGCGCGATACACTGCAAGTACTGCTTTCAGATATCTGCGGTGGTGATGCGTCGTGCGAGGCGGTATTGCATCATGTAGCTGCTCATCCGCCTTGGTTTGCGATACGTCACCTGTTCATTCGAACGCCGGGGGCTTCGCTCGTGGAAGCATGGCGGATGCGACATTTTGCGCCTGCGTAGAAGTTCGCGTCCTTCAATCTCCCATGCTATCCGACGATGTGTTGTTTCAATGCGCGGCCCCAGAGGTCTCAACCCTTTCCCTAGGGGTCGGCTTTCTCCCTGGATGCATTTTTGTATGGCCCTGGCTCCCGATGACGGGCCCTGGTAGCCGGAATTTGGGAACGTCTTTGTAAATCCTCGAGATCCGACGTCACGAGAAGTTACAATATCGTAGAGAAGAACTCGGGCGGAGCCCGGGATTCTTTCCTTTAGCTGAATCTTTCGGGCTGGACCGATCCGTGAGGGTCCGGGGTCCAGACGTGTGGCAAAAGCGCCCGTTTTGAGAAGAAAATGTGACGCCAGGGTCTCAGGGTTGAACAATTCGTATCGTCGGGGATTTTGGATTCTATGCCATGGGCCCGCCATAGAGGGCAGACTGGGCGCTGCGCCTGAAGGAGGGCCGCGTGGCCCTCGAGGCGGCCAGTCGAGGGGGCCACCCCAGCGGAACAACCCAGGCGTTCCCGCCTAGGGGGGGATCCGGTGGAGATGGCTGGATGCAGTCCCTAATGTCGAGAAAGAACACCCGGCATACACATCCGCGCAGGTCCAAGAAATCCGCGCGCATTTTCGACATTTTCTGTTTGTGCGTTTGGTTCGTTCTGATCTTTGCGTCGGGAAATAATCACGACGGGAAGTTTTCGATAATTTTCAGCTCTTTGAGGCCCGTGACAGGCCCCGGGTTTGTCAAGCAGCGGCTCAGGATGGAAACCCGCCCCCCAGGAAGGGCTCCCGACCTCTGGGGAGCCACGCTGCGTACAAATGATTGCGTCGGATGTCTGGGATGATGGGGGGACATAGGTGGGAGCTGTTCGGTCTGTTCGGCTCCGTCGCAGTCGGTTGTGTTCGATCGGTTCGGTTCGGTCCGTGGCTCGTTGCTGCGTCACTGCGCCCTTTTGGGCTTCTCCTGGTACGTGAGCAGGGGGAAGCCGACATCAGCCCCCACAATTATGGATTTGACATGTCAGCGTTTGCATGTATGGCGGATGTGCGTAAGTGGAGGCGCCTTGTAGGCGAGGCCATTGCCAGGTGCCGCAGAGGGACCCCACGCGCGCGGCGACGTCCTGGGCCCACTCGCCGCGGCCGCGCCCGCGCCAGCATTCCCAGGGCCGCGCGTGCCACGGCCGCGTGCCACGGCCGAGGCGACGGCGGTTCTGTCCTTCGCGCGGCAGCGCCGCTGGCCCAGTCGAGGGCTTCCGCCCCCGCTTCCGTCGCCCTCTCATGACCTCGCCTGCGGAAAAAAATGAGATCGGGATCGACGCTCTCGAGGCAACTCGTTCAATGTAAGTTTATCGGCGCTCATTAAAACAAATCTTCTGTTTATATAATCAACTGTTGGGGCTCTTCCGCGCGAGATTTCCGGCTTCGGACAAGTTTAGACCGATCTTACGTGGAGTTCTATGAACTGTTTTCGCTTGGTGCCTAAATTTTGTTATCGGGGGGATCTAAAACTGTTCGATGCGCGTTCGTCCGGGGCGGGCCGCGGGCGCCGTCCGGGGCTCTCGCCAGCGCCGCCAAGGGCCGACGCGCCCCTTGGTTTTTGCCCGGGACGGGCGCGCGAATATCCACAATGACGTTGGGCATTGACCACGCGTCAGCGCAAGGTGACGTCAAGTTCAAACGCCAACGAGCATGGCGTCAGCGCGCCGTTCGCATGGAATTGCGCGGCGTTGACGTTGGCCGACCGTCGAGCAGTTTCCGCTTGCAGTTCGCTCGTCGTTCGGCGGACGGTCTTATTGGTCGACAGTTCCTCACGTGGGGGGCGGGGGACGGTTTTCATGCGTTCAGTAGATTCGGTTCGGTCGGTTTTGGTTTCGCAGTGAGCTCAGTCGGTTTTCTGGTTGTATTTTCTCGCCCTGGGTGGCCCTGGGGAAATGGGACCCGACCCTGGCCCGAAGGTGGACACGCTGCGCTCTAGCGGGAACTCCACTTTTCTTGCGCCCCTTCTTTAGGATGCAACTACTGGGAGGCCGAAATTGGCATCGGCGCTGGTATATCCGTGTCCTGAACTGGCATACCCCCGCTTAGTTCAGCTTAGCCCCATTTAATTTCGGCTCAGTCCCCCGCTGCATCTTGCTGGTCTAGTCTGGCCCAGTGGTTCCTCGATCTGGCTTGATAGCCCCCAGCTGTTGTTGCGAAAACCTCCAAGCAGCTGCTTCATACCATTGCGAAGGCCTTACGGCCTTTGCCGCCCACTTTGAAGGGGGACGGAAACGACGGCGTCGGCGATGCCGACGACAACGCTGATGCATTGCAGCCGAAACCGTCTCCCGGGGAGGGCTTCCAATTCCCGCTGGCGGCCGGCAAACCCCTCCCCATGCTTGGCGCCCGCGCGCCCGCCGGCGCCGCGGGCAGAGGCAAGCGGCCGCAGCCGGCGCGGCCCAAGGTGCAGCCGGGGCTGGTGGTCGGAGGGCACCAAGTCGGAGGCCCGCGCGGACCTCCGAGATTTTAGTTTTTGTTTGTTTGTTCTCCTGTATGCAACGATCCCGGCCGGGCCGATCCCAGGCCCAGGATCAGTGTACGCACCGGCTTGCCCAAGCTAGGAGGGCGTACGCACCGATACTGGGCCCAACATCGGTGTGGCCAGGACTGGTGCGTTCATGTGTGTACAGTTGAGCGACGCCAAAAAACAGGTCGTCTGCGCCAACATTGGCGCCGGACCTGCTCGCGTAATGTCCTGCGTGAGCGCCCTCGTCTCCACGTTGGCTTGCCGCGTTGGCGGCCCGCGTAGCCCGCGCGTAAGGTCGGTGTGCCACCTTGCGTAGACTCGTGTCTGATCGTCGCTCAGGTGTATACTATTGGCGTCCTCCTAGGTTCCGCATCGTTTAACCGATCCCTATCCCATTTTCCATCCCCGTCCAGATCCCCACTATGCCACCACCCCAGTTGGGAATCAGCCCTTCGAAACTCGAAGGGAACAGCCTTTCTATCCCCATCTAGGGGGATAGTTCGGCCTCTGTGGCCCAGGCCACGCCCGTGGGGATAGGGATCGGTGCAGCGATGGTCATAGGTGGGCGGGCTCTTCGGGCGCGGCCAGCAGTCCAGGCCCATCGCGGACGGGGTGCTCGTGCCCCGCCCCGCCGGCGGCCAGGAGCCTGCCCTGCCCCGGCGCGGCGCGGCCAGCGGCGTGGCGGCGGCCCCGCCGCCAGCAGAGGCGCCCCGCCGCCGCGGCGCGGGCGGCGCGCGCTCGCCAGCAGCCGGCGGCGGCAGGGAGGCTCCGAGGAGGAAAACCCAAACGGGAGGTTTCTGGCCGTTTTGGGCCATCAGAAACCGACGCCGGATGGAGAGCTGGTCCCGGGGAAGGGGTCGGGACTTCTGGGGACTCCGTATACTCAAGAAACAGGGCATCGCATGTCTGGGAAGGCGCCGTTACCGGCAATTTCGTGTGCCTCGGAAGCCACGGCCGGGGCTCGCCCTGAAAGCCTGGGCAGGGCGGCGCCCCAGTTGAGGCCCTGGGAGCGGCGGCGTCGGCATCCTCTTGGCTCCCCCACCGGAGGCGTCGTCGAGGCTGCCCGGCCGCGCTCGCGCCACCGCGTCCTCCAGCGGGGCCCCGAGGGGGCCGAAGAGGGGCCGCGCCAGGGCGGCGGCCAGCGCGGGGCGGGGCGGCCTCGCTGAGGTGGCCCTGTGCGTGCCGGCGGGCGGCGGGCTGCTGGGGTACCTGGGCCGCATCCAGGCTTGGTGCCTCGGGGAAGGACTGCCTCGGACGTGTGCATGTTTTCTCGGCGAGAACCATCGATCGGGGGTGGACAGACCTCCTACCCTGACACGTCGATTAGTGAATTGTCCGTTTTCGGTTCTCGAGAGGGCGCCGCGGCCGTTATTTTCCAGGCTTGCGCCCCCAGGTTTGGGCCTCAGGTCGTTTTCACTAAACCGCGTTTTACTAAAGGGGGGTCTGTCCATCCCCGAGGAATGCCCCGGACGTGTGCAATTGTTTTCTTGGCGAGAACCATCGAGGACCATCCTGGACCCTCGAGCCAACAAAAACACGCACGAGACAGACAAATGAACCGGAAATGGGCGTCCGAGCGACGGCAGGGAGGAGCAGGGGGCGAGGACGAAAAAGCGCCATAAAAAGATAAACTTCTGGCACTCCGCGCGGAATTCTTGAATCCGCGCTGGGCGCCCCCGGCGGCGCCTCTGGTGCCGCCCCTGGCGCGCTCCGCGCGCCAGGGAAGGGGTCCAGCGCAGATCCAAGAAATCCGCACAGACCGTCGACAGTCATGTTTTTGCAGTTTTTTTTGACTACAACCACTTGCGGACCCTACTTTAACCAGCCTCGAGCTTATCCCTATCCCTAAGATTGGTAAGTCGCAAGGCGACGACAGTCTTAGTGATGCGTCCTCAGAAGCTGAGGGGATCCTTAAGATCAGCATCGAGATAAGGTGATGCCCAGAATAGGGATACGGATCTGTTTCTGGCTGGTAATACCCAGGACCTTCAGGACCACGATCCCCAGAAATCACGCTGCGTCTGCGCCCTCAGGGCCACACCCAGACTTCGCAAGGCTTCCTCTCCCAGGGCATCCAGGGGCGCCCAGGGGCTTCTGGGCCTTCTGGAACCCTCTGCACACCGCTCCTTGCGAAGGATTCCGGGCGCGGGGCGCGCCACCCTTGCGCAGGCGCGCGCAAAACCATTTGAGCGACGCAAGAGAACCGGGTCGTCTGCGCCGACATCGGCGCGGAATGCTGGCCGCGTAGGGTCGCGCGCAAGCGCCCTCGTCTCCAACGAAGCGTGCCGCTCGGGCGGAAGCGTGCCGCGCGGGCGGCCCGAGTCAGCCGCGGCGTGAGGTCGCTATGCCATCTCGCAAAAGGCCCGTTGCTGATCGTCGCCCACTTGTCTCGCGTCCTCCGAGCGTCCGTGGTTGCATCCAGGCGGAGTTGAGGGCCGTGGTGGCGGAGCGCGAGCCCCTCGTCGCCCCCGAGCGCCTGCTCTGGGAGCCGCGCGCCGAGGTGGCGGAGGCCCTGTCCCCGCAGGAGGAGGAGCCGAGGGACGAAATACGCCGTCGCCCCCGAGGCGTCGGGACAGGCGCCCCCCCCCCCCCCCCTCGGGCGCATCCAGCTCCTTCGCTGCTTATGCTCAGGAGGAGGGGGGAGGTGAGGGGTACGGTCAACCCTGGCAGTAAGGTGAAGTCGGGCGTGTCCCTCGACAGGAGGAATATTCAAACATAGTCAAACATAGTATGGGGACGTTTTTTTTTTTTTTTTTTTTTTTTTTTTTTTTTTTTTTTTTTTTTTTTTTTTTTTTTTTTTTTTTTTTTTTTTTTTTTTTTTTTTAAAATGTATATATATATAATAATAATAATTATATATATACACATACATATATATACATATATTTGTGATTTTTGATTATTTCGGAGCATTTTTTCCAAAAAAATCCGCCTGTAGGAGGACATGCCCGACCTAACAGTAAGGATGATCGACTTACTGAGGATACCTTGACATCCTTGCCTCTTCGGCAATCTTCGGTGCATCCTCAGCCGCTTGCGATGGCCAGCCTCGCTCGAAGAGCCTCGGCATGAGCGCCCAAGGCCCCTGCACCCTTACCGCGCATCCTTACGATACGGGTTGACTGCAGTGGGCGGGGGCTGCCTCCTCCACACCTCCGCTGGGCCGCGGGTGCCGCGGCCAGGGACGCGACCGCACCTCGTGCGAACGCGTGCGCAGCAGCAGCCGAGGGAAATACACCGGCGAAATCCCCACCCCACCCTCGCTGATCGAAGACCGAGGCCACTCGAAGGGCGGCGGCTCGAGGTTCGAGCCTCGATGATCGAGGTGTGAGGCTTTATGGTTTTCGGGGGCCCTCGTCGCCACGGCTGGACGCAGCTCGAAAAACTAGTGCGTCTGGACCCTGGCAGGAGCTGAGGACCCACTTTGAGCGGAATTTGAAGCGACCCTCGCCGATCAACGATTCAGGCAGCTCGATGGGCGGCGGTGGTACGGTTCGGAATCCGTCGAGGAGAAATCCGAGCTCTAGCCCCGCCTACCGTCGATTCAGGAGAATCGATGGTTGGTGGGGCGTAGGGTTCCGATTTCGGCACCTAGACGAAGCCCATGATCCAGACCTCTTCGCGCCATGGACGAAAAGTACACCAGAGAAAACCCCAGTCTCAAGGAACGATAATATAATGTATGGCATATCGGGGGGAAAACGAAAGAGTGAGACAGGTGTAACAAAATACCAAGGGAGAGAGAGGGAGAGAGAGAGGGGAATGATACACAGAGAGAGAGAGAGATATTGCATAACATGGAGACAAACATCACAGATAATGACTATATATATATTGCATATCAAAGAGTGGGACAGGCATAAGGAATGACAAATAGAGAGAGAGAGAGAGGGAGAGAGAGAGAGAGGGGGGATGAGACAGAGAGATAGATATTGCATAACACAGGGAGAAAACAATCAGCATGCGGAAAAGACAGGAAAAGAGAGAGAGAGAGGGGGCGTCCACCGACAGCTGCCCATCGAGAGTCGCCCACCGCAATCGGCTGGCCACTTTCGCCAATCTCTCGAGGGGGCGCCCACCGAAGACCTCACACCGAGAGCCGCCCACCGGAATCGGCCGCCCACTTTCGCCAATGCCTTCTAGGTCTGCTAGGACCCCTTGAGTGTAAACACTGACTGGGGAATCGCGACGGAAGGTCTTTTCATGCTTTCGGGCTCTGGGGCCCTTCGCTGGGCCCCCGGATCAGCAAAAAACGGCTCAGGTTGAAAAACCGGTGCTGGGGAGGGGGCCCAGACCTCTGATAGAGCGCTTTCTGTGGTCGCTTGCAGGGCGGGGGGGTTGGAACTGGACACCCCCCCCTGGATGGATGGGGGGGGTTCGAACTCCCCGCCCCTCCTCCCCTGCATCTCCCTCTCCTCGGGCCGGCGCCGGCGTCGTCGGCGGCGGCTGGCGGCGGCGGCGGGGAGCGTTGATGAAGACGACGACTTCCTTTTTCGGGCCGGCGGCGACGCCTGCGGCGGCGGGCGGCGGCGGCGGGGAGCGTCGACGAGGACGATGGCGACGACGACGACGACTACGACGACACTCCGCCACCATGCCTTGGTTTTGGGTCAGAGTCCTACTTGATGCCTCTTGGGGTCTTGTCGGAGGGCTCTCGGGGGCCACTGAAGGGCATTGTGTAGCCCCCTGGGCGCCTCTTGGGCGTCTCTTGGGGCCTCTGAGGTGGTGGTCGTGGTGGGCTGTGGTGGTGGTGGTGGTGGTGGTGGTTGTGGCGGTGGTGGTGGTGGTGGTAGTTGGTGTTGGTGGTGGTGGTGGTGGTGGTTGTGGTGGCAGGTTGTGGTGGTGGTGGTGGTCGTGGTGGCGGCGGTGGTGGTAGTGGTGGTGCGGTGGTTTCTGGTGGTGGTTGTAGTTGTGGTGGTGGTGGGTTGAGGTGGTGGTGGTTGTGGCGGTGGCGGTGTGGTGGTTTGTCGTGGTGGTTGTGGTGGTGGTAGTGGTTGTGGCGGTGGTGGGTTGTGGTGGTGGTAGTGGTGGTGGTGGTGGTGGTGGTGGTGGTATGGTTGTGATGGTGATGGTTTGTTGTGGCGGTGATTGTTGTGGTTGTTGTTGTTGTTGGTGGTGGTGGGGTCATGGTTTGTGGTGGTGGTGGAGGGTTGTGGTGGTGGTGGTGGCCATGGTGGTGGTTGTTGTGGGGTGGTGGTGTTGTGGTGTTGTGGTGTGGTGGTTTGGTGGTTGTGGTGGTGGTGGTGTGGTAGTGGTTTGTGGTGGTGTGGTAGTGGTTTGTGGTGGTGGTGGCGGTGTGGTGGCGGAAGTGTTGGTTGTTGCGGCGTGGTGGTTTGTGGTGGTGGTGGTGGTGGCGGTGGTGGTGGTGGCGGTGGTTTGTGGATGTGGTGCTGGTGGTGGTGGTAGTGGCGTTGGTTGTGGTGTTGTGGTGGTTTGGGGTGGTGTTGGTGGCGGTGGTGGTGTTTGCTGGTTCTGCTGCTGGTAGTAGTGTTTGTGGTTGTGGTAGATTGTGGTGTTGGTGGTGATTGTGGTGGTGGGTTGTTGTGGTGGTCGAGGTGGTGGTAGTGAGTTGTTGTGGTGGTGGTGGTGAGCTGTTTAGGTTGTGGTTGTGTGGTGGTTGATGGTGGTGGTGGTGGGTTGAGGCGGTGGTGGTGGTGGTGGTGGCGTGGTGGTTTGTGGTGGTGGTGGTGGGCTGTAGTGTTGGTGGCGGTTGTGCTGCTGCTGTTATTGGTGGTGGTGGTGGTGGTGGGTGGTGGGTGGTGGGTAGTGGGTGGTGGTGGTGGTTGTGGCGGTGGTGGTTGTGGTGGTGGTGGTGGTGGTGTGGTTGTTTGTGGTGGTCGTATTGGTGTTGGTGGGTTGTGGTGATGGTGGTGATGGTGGTGGCGGTGGTGGTTATTGTGGTGGTAACGGTGTGGTGGTCTGTGGTGGTGGTGGTTGTTGTGGGTTGTTGTGGGTTGTGGTGGTGCTGGTGGTGGTGGCGTCTCTGGTGGTGGTGGTGTAGTGGTTTGTGGTGATGGTGGTTTTTGTGGTGGTGGTGGTGGTGGTGGTGGGTTGTGGTGGTTTTGGTCGTGGTGGTGGTGGTGGCGGTTTTGGTGGTGGTGATCTGGTGGTTTGTGGTGGTGGTGGTGGTGTGGCCTTCGGGTCTTCCCGCCGCTGTGTCGTGGTTTTGGGTCAGAGTTCTAATAGATGCCTCTCGAGGTCTCGTTAGAAGGGTCTCGGGGGCGTCTGGCGATTTGTGTGTTCCCTGTGCGGCCTCTGGGCCCTCTCTGGCCGTCGTCGCTGCGTCCCCGCTGTCGGCGCTGCTGGCGGCCGCAAGCGCAGGCGTCGGCGCCGGCGCCGGGGGGGGGTTCGGGAGGGGGGGGGGGTACCCCCTAGTTCTGATCGACGGCGCCGTGTGTTGGGGGGGGGCCTCCCCGGTTCGAGACGCGCCGCCGAATGCTCCCAAGGCAAGCGCCCGTGAAACGCGCTGTCTCAGACCTCTGGGTGTCCGTGCTCGTGAAAGAATAGCGGCTGGGACCCTCTCTAGGCCATTTGATCAGCAAACAGCGACTCAGTATGAGGAACTTGTGTTGGGGAGGGTGCCCAGACCTTCGGATGTCCGTTGTGAGAACATCACGACGTCGGATGTCTGGGTATCGACGCCTTGGTCATGGTTCAGGCCGGCTGTTGCCGAGTCGCGGGGATGGCCCACGAATCGACGGTGGCCGAGATGGAAGGTGGTCAAGATCGGCACGATGACGTTCCCTCGCTCAGTCTTGACCCAGAGGAGGAGGAGGACGAGCTACCGCCGCCGCCGCTCGGCGCGGGGCGGCGGCGTGGCCGCCGCGGCCGCAGCCGCAGCGCCCGCCGGAGCCGCAGCGCGAGGAAGAAAAAAGGGGCATACACATCGAATCTCGGAGTTCCGCGTGGATTTCTTGGTTCGGCGCCTGGCCACCCCCGTTGGCGGCGCCCCTGGCGCCGACCTTGGCGCGCCCCTCGCGCCAAAAAGGAGGGAGGTCCAGCGCCGATGCAAGGTATTCGCGCGGACCTCCGAAAGAAGACGGCGGGATTGACCGCGTGGACATTCGCGCGTCGGCAGCCCTCGCAATGCGGCGCGTGAGCGCCCTCGTTCCCGATCTGGCGTGCCTCACTGGCGGCCCGCGTACGCTACCGCGTAAGGTCGCCATGCCATCGTGCGTGAGACCCCTTTCCGTTCCTCGCTCGAATGTGTGAGGTTTCAGTAGGACCGAGGCATCAGATCGAGGTCGGCTCCGGGAGGGTACCCTCGTGTTCTTCGTGCTTGCTGGATACAGTCGGCCCGGATTAGTAGGTCGACCCTGCCAAATCAAGGGTACTCAGGGTACTCTTGTGTCCTGTGTCTCGCGACCCATGCCTCTTACATTCCTGTGGCAATGTGGCCCTCGGAAGGGTCTTATGTCCTCTCGCGTGTCCTGTCCAACCAAGTCCGACTGTATTCTTGTGCATTCTAGGGAGGGCACCCTCGGACGTTCTGTTTGTTTGGGCCGACGGAGGGTCTCATGTTCTTGAAGGATGCTCTTCTGGCCCAGGTCCGACTGGCCTAGGTCCGACTAGGTTCTGGCCTGGGTCCTAGGCCTTCCCCGAAGGCACAGACAACTTCTCAGAAGGCCAGAGTGTTTCTGAGAAGTCCCGCTTCCTTCTGAGAGGGTCTACCACCCTCCACTTCCCCCTCCCTCAGCCTCGCCGCTGAGTGTGCTTATGCCGTTGTTTCTTCCTCTGGCAGCGCCCGCTCGCCGCCCCTCTCGCCCGCGGACGGCCCCCGCGCTGCAGGCCGCCGCCGCCTCCGGCCGCGCTCTTCGGACCCCCCGCCCCTGCAGGCCCTCTGGGAATGCAACTCCTGGGAGGCCGAGTGCGGCATCGGCGGTGGTGTTCAGCGGCGAGCGAGGGGTTTGGGGAAACGAGAGGGAGGGGCCCTTCTCAGCAGGCCTCCGGCCTTCTGAGATGTTTTTTTTGCGTGTCCTCGGAGCGGCCTGGAAAACTTCTCGGCAGGCCCGGTGACGTCTTGGCCTTCCGAGAAGGCCTTCTCCTTCTCGCTTCCCACCCCGGGCGCGCCGCCTGCTCCCGCTCGGCCCCGCTTGATCCTGGGCTTGCTCTTGGGCTTCGTCTGGCCTCAACGGGCTCAACGGCCCCTCGATCGGGCTTGATGCCCCCCCAGTCGTTCTTGCGAAGACCTCCCGCGGCGCTCCTCGGCGCCCCCGCCCCGCAGGCCCTCGGGTGCCACCCACCCCGAGGGGGGGGGGCAGGCTCGGGGTGGTGGAAGCACCGTCCCCCGACGGCTCACTGATCTCCGATGGAAGCTTCATGGCCCACCCCGCCCAGGAACGTGCGGCTTCGCTCTCGGAGGTCAATCGCCGGTCTGTCGGCGATGCATCGCCGATTCGGGCTCGATGTGCCCCCCCCCCCCCCCCCTGAGCCGGTGCTGGTCACCCGATGCGCTGCGAAGGTATCCGCACTTCGAGCGCACCGCGGCCTTTCGGCGCGAGGGCGGCGCGCAGACGACCAAGCGCTGCGCATCGCAGGGCGCGACGCGTGAAGTCAGGCGACCCAGAGCCTCTTATGAGGAAAATCCGGAGTCCTCGCGCGGCAACAAGTTGAGACGGGGTTTGGGTCGGTTCGGTGCCCGTCGCAGGGCCCGTCGCTGCCCGACACTGGGTGTCTGTCTGTCTGTAGGCCACGGGGATCGGATGGATCGATCGATCGAGGGTCGAGGGTCGAGGATCGAGGGTCGATCGAGTCTCGAGGATTGAGGGTCGATCGAGGAACGAGGATCGATCGAGCATCGATCCAGGATCGACCACCGAGGGTCGATCGATCGAGGATCGGGGATCGGGGATCGACCGATCGAGGGCCCCCCTCCTCGCGCCCCCCCTGCAGGCCCTGCCCGCGCCCCCGCCGGCGGCGCCCGCAGGCGGCCCGCCGCGCGCCGCCCGCCGCAGCCCGCGGGGCGCGCCGCTGCGCCCCGCGGCCGCGCCGCGCTCGCCGCCCGACCGCCAGGGCGGCGGCCCAGAGCGGAGGAGTCGGAGGGCGCTGATGCGGGCCTCCTGGATGGGGGTCTGGGAGTGCAGGGGGTCGGAGGATCGCGCCGCATCGCCGATGCACCGGCGATGCGGCTCGCTGTGGAGCCCGAGTTTCTCTACGCCGACGTCGCCAGTGCATCGCCGACGTTGCCGGCGCATCGCCGATGCATCGCCGATGAATCGCCGATGCATCGGCGATGCGGCGCGATCCTCCGACCACATCTACTCCGACCCCATCTAGGAGGCCTCTACTGGAGGCTCAGAGGAGGAGAGGGTGCCCATACCGCCACTCTTCCCTCGTCTCGCCCACTGTTGGGCCTCCTGGGAGGCCCTCGTCGCCACTGCTGGATTCGCCTCGAAGTCCTGGTCAGAACGCGCTCCGGGAGAGGTCCGGGGAGTAGTGGAGGAGTCGGATCGATCGAGGATCGAGGATCCAGGACCGATCGAGGGTCAGTGCAAACGGGGCCCAGAGCGGAGGCGTCGGAGCGGAGGATCGGGAGACTTGACAGGGGGTAGGGGGAGGGGTAGGCGTCTTAGAAGGAGGCTGCTTAGAAGGCGCGGGCCCTATCTAGAGCGGGCCGACCATGCGTCGAGCGCCGTCGGAGTTAACCATACGTCGGCTACGCGTGAGCGACGTGCACCGCTGGCGGCCCGCGTATGCCATTGGTGCGTAAGCTGCCCGCTTAAGGTTGCGCGTAAGCGCCCGCGTCTCCAACGCAGCGTGCCGCGCTGGCGGCCCGCGTAAGCTACAGCGTGTCGCGCTGGAGGCCCGCGTAAACCAGAGACGGGGGTCCGTGCAAACAGGGGTCAGCCAGGGCGCCGGATCTTGCAGGATCCTGCAGAGCCAGCGGCGCATTGACCCGGGTAAGCGCGCAGGATCCTGCAGGATCTGCAAGATGCAGCAGGATCTTGCAGGATTCTGCAGGGCCTGACTGACCCGGGTTTGCAGTTTTCCCCAAGAGGAGTCGGAGAGCGCCAACCATATTCAGATTCGGGCGAACGGGTCGTTTGCAGGGTGGGACCCACAAGTGTGCATAATAGTTCGTACGATAGTTCGAGCTGGATCGTGCTGGGTGCGGGCAGAATGTGTTGAATTCGGCATCATCGGGCCGTGGTTGAGGCCACGCCCCATGAGCCACAGAATGAACTGTTTTTTTGGCGGCCTCATGACAAAACACCCCTTATGCTTGGAACCAACACACAACAGCTACACGTGAGGCGTTCCAGAAAGGGTTTCGCCTTGGAGGATCGAAGGAGTTGCCATCTCTTCCTCGGTGGAGGGGCGGCGGAAGAGCGGCGGAAGCCCGCGGACGGCGGGCGGAAGGCGGCGCGAGGAAAAGATGCGTCCCCAAGGGACGGCAACCCTGTGGGGTTCCGGGTTTTCGGAACCGGCCATGTAAGACTAACCTTTCTCGGGGGCGGCAAAGAGGGGGGTGATGACTCGGGGGGTGGAAATCATGGCGGGGGCCATGATATTTGCCCAGATTTCATGGCGCCTTTTCCAACTTCAATTCGTCCCTGGTCCCCCCCCCCTTTGGGCCACGCACATGCCGCGGGCCATGATCTGCGCCCCCCCTCTTGGACGCCCCCCCTCTTGGCCGCCCCCGACTTTCGCCCGAATAACCTTTGATGCGGGCGCGCTGGCGCCCTCAGATGGCTGGATGCGCCTCGATGGAAGCGGCTTCCGCGCTCGGTTGTGGCCTCCCGCGCCACCGAAGGCCGCGCACCGAAGGTCCCTCCGTTCAATTCCAGGGCGGCGCCCTGGAGCGTGGAGGAGTCGGAGGGCGTCACGAGGATGAAAAGGTGCTGATAGTTGTGCTCGTCCTGGAAAGCCCTCGTCACCACGATTGGATTCGCCTCGGAAGGTCAGAAACCGCCCGCGGAGATGCCCAGCGAGTAGTGGCATCGGCACCATTTCTGTACCCCTATCTTCACCTACACCCGTCCTGGTCAGGCCCATGGTCGGCCCAGGGTCCGTGCATGCCCCCTCCTCCCAGCTCGGCGAGGAGGAAGTCACGCACGCTCTGGCCATGATTGGTGCGCAGGTGTGTATAGTGAACGCCCTCCGAGAGGAAGTTCGAGAAGCTCCGGGGGCCGGGCGGCGGGTCGCCGCTGCAGCTGGACCTGTCGCCGCAGCAGCCGTTGCGGCTGGTCGAGGCGCCGTTGGCCCCCGCGGACGAGACCGCGCCATCCCGGGGCCGCGAGGATCGAGCTTTGGTTGGGCGCTTTCCGGAAGCTTCCGGAGATGTCTGGCGGTTTCCGAGCGCCGCGAGGATATGGGGGGGTGTTTGGCCCTGAAGGGCGTACATAGTACAGTCGGACCGAGATGTAGGATCGAGGTCGGAACCCTTCTGTGGAGGATTGCAGTAGGAATCCTTCTGCGGTGGGGTTCAACGAGAGTCCTTATGTGGAGGATTTCAATGGTGTCGGTCAGCCTCTCGCCGCTGCCATTTTTTTTTTGTTGCCCCGCCCCCTCCCCCCTGGGCGGCGCAATCGCATATGGCCCCCCTTCGTGGATTTCAATACATATTCGTCTGCGGAGGGTTTCAGCGAGACTCCTTCCGTGGAGGATTTCAATAGGAATCCTTCTGAGAGAGGAGTTCAATGAGAATCTGATTGTGAAGGATTTCAGCAGGAATCTTTATGTGGAGGGAGGTGTTCAATAGGAATCCTAATGTGCAGGATTTCAATAAGAGGCCTTTTTTGGAAGGAATCAAGAGGAAAGGAATGTTAACGCAATTCCAAGGCAATGCTTGCGCAATGGCAGCGCTTTGCAGCGAAATGCCAACGCAATGCCAAGGGCACAATGCCATGCCAATTCTGTGCCAAGCCCGCGCCAACTCAATGCCAACGCAATGCCTCTGCAAAGCCAGCCCGTGGCTAATGCAATGCCAATTCCGTTTCGAAGCCGATTCAGGATGATCTCAGTAGGAACCGTTTTGTGGGTTTTTCAATAGGAATCCATTTGTGGGGGGCTTCTCTTGGGAATCCTTCCTGTGGAGGCTTCCAATGTGAATCCTTATTTCGAGGGTTTCAATCATACTTTGCAATCGGAATTTCGAATTACAGCCAGCGATATGCCAGCGCTTTGCCGGCGCAAGGCCATTACAATGCCGAAGAACATTGCTATGCAAGTTCTACGCCACGCCCGTGCCAATGCATTGCCAGCGCAATGCCAGTGCTATGCCAGCACGTGGCCAGTGCAATATCACTTCCCAGTGAATGCGGATGCAATGCGAAAGCGCGAAACCAGTTCACTTCAAGTTTCAATCGAAATCCTTGTGTGGATGGTTGAACTAGGAACCCTGCTAGGGATTTCAGTAGGAGTCCTTCAATGGAGGCATTCAATAAGAATCCTTTCATGAAGGGCTTTAAGGGGCACGCAATGCCGGTCGAATTGCAAGGCAATGGTCGTGCTATGCCAACATTTTGCCAGCGCAAGGCCAATGCAATGCCAGGGGGCACCCGTGAACTTTTGTTCCCTATTACAGTTGAAGTCCTCATGTGGATGATTGAACAGTCAACCCTGCTATCCAGGATTTCATTCGGAACCCATCTGTGGAAGTCAATTGGAATGCTTGTATGAGGGGCCCCAAAGGGATTGCTTGCCAACGCAGTTTCACGACAGTGCTCGTGCTATGCCAGCGCTTTGCCAGCGCAAGTTTAATGCAATGCCAATGGGCGCCAGCAGACATTTTTTCCCAATGTTGAAATAGAAATCCTTCTAGGGATGATTGAACTATACATCCAGCTACGGAGGATTTCATTAGGAGTCTTGCTGTGGATGACCTCCCAAGGAATCCTTATACTGGGCCCCAAGACGAATGCAGGCCAACGCGCTCCCAAGGTCATGCTTGTTCTATGCGAGCGCTTCGCCAGCGTCCGGCGAATGCAATGCCAAGCGGCACAAATGAACCCTTTTCCTTTTTATATTACAATAGAACTCCTTCTGTGGATGATTGAATTACACGTCCAGCTATGGAGGATTTCAGTAGGCTCCCAGCCGTGGAGGAATTGAATCGGAATCCTTGTTTGCAAGGCCGAAGCAATGCCAAGGGGCACCAGTGGTCTTTCGCCCATAGTTCTACAGAAATCTTTCCGTGCACGATTGAACTAGGAATGCTGCTAGGGAGGATTCCAGTAGGAGTCTGTGGAGGAATTCAGCTGGGATCTTTTTATGAAGCGTTCCAAAGGGAATGCAATGTCAACTCAATTGCAAGGCGATGCTTGCGCTACGCCGGCGCCTCGCCAACGCAACTCCAAGGCAATGCTTGTTCTATGCCAGCGCTTCGCCCAATGCAATGCCAAGGGGCACCAGTGAGTCCTTTTGTGGAGGATTTCAGTGGGGATCTTTCTACGAAGGGTTTCACAGGGAATGTAATGCCAATTCCATTGCAAGGCAATGCTTGTGCTACGTCAGCGCTTAGCCAGCGCAAGGCCGATGCGATGCCAAGGGGCACCAATGAACCCTTTTCTTTATATTACAATCGAGATTCTGGTGTGGATGACTGAACTTACATCCAGCTATGTAGGATCTCAGTAGGCGCCCATCTGTGGAGGAATTCAACAGGAATCCTTGTATGAGGGGCTGCATGAGGAATGCTTGCCAACGCAATTCCAAGGCAATGCCTCTGCTATGCCAGCGCTTGCCGGCGCAAGGCCAAATCAATGCCACGGGGCACCAGAGAGTTTTTGTTTCACAGCTCACTAGAAATCCTTCTGTGCACGATTGAATTAGGAATCCTGCTAGGGAGGATTTCAGTAGGAGTTTCTCTGTGGAGGAATTCAGCTGGGATTTTCTATGAAGGGTTCCACAGGGAATGCAATGCCAATTCAATTGCAAATGAATGCTTGTGCTACGCCAGCGCTTAGCCAGCGCAAGGCCGATGCAATGCCAAGGCACTGCTGAACCTTGTTCTCTCTGTGGATGGTTGAACTATACATCCATCTATGTAGGATCTCAGTGGGCGCCCATCTATGGAGGAATTCAACAGGAATCCTTTGTATGAGGGGCTGCATGAGGAATGCTTGCCAACGCAATTCCAAGGCAATGCCTGTCCTATGCCAGCGCTTCGCCAGCGCAAGGCCAACGCAATGCCAAGGGGCGCCGCTGCTATGCCACTTCTACGCAAGTCCGTGCCAACGCATCGCTAGCGCGATGCCAATGCAATGTCAGCACGTGGTCAGTGCATGCCAATCCCGATTCAATGCGATTCAATGCGAACGCAATGACTCCTGTATTCTCCTACTTCAAAGGGGATCCTTCTGTTTATGCTTGAGAAGGGAATCCTTTTGTGGAGGATTTCGTTAGGAATCGTTTTCGTGCGTGGCGGGAACGGGGCTGAACATAGTAATCTTTCTTGTCCCGGATTTAACGTGAGTTCTTCTTGCGGGGGGGATCACCAGGAATCCTTCTTATGGCGGTTTTTAATAGAAATCCTTCAGTGGAGGGTGCCGCCACCGCAATGCAATCGTAAGGCTAGCGCAAGGCTAGCGCGCTGCCAACGCAATGCCACCGCAATGCCACGGCGACGCCAGTCCAATGCCATACCATGCAAGTGCAATGTCAATGGTGGTCCTCTGGTCAGAGCGCGCATATTGCGCCGACACCAGAGGTGCGCAAACGATGCGCCGCCGCCCATTTCCTTTCCAAATGTGCGCGGCGTCGAGGCGATATTGCAATGTTTGAAAAATGCGCGTGACGCCGAGGCGAGAGTGTGATTTTTGAGAAATGGGGAGCATCAAACCGCAACTTGAAAGTCCCCCGCCCTCCTTATCGCGCGTCTTTTTTGTGCGGCTGATCGCTTGCAGCCTCCAGCTCCCACTCCTCCTTCATCCTGGCTGCCTTGTCCACATTCGACCTTGGGAGGCCCGCGCTGGATGTCTTGGGTTGGCGCCCGGCCCTCCCTGCCACAGCCATCCCCTGCGCGCGCGGAGAGCGTTGTGCGTCGCCCGAAGCACCGCGCCACGCGTGTGGAGGCCCGCCCGAGAAGCCCGCGCGGACCTTCGGTCCGCAAGGGTGCGTTGACGTCCGCGTGCGCCGTGTATCGCTGGCACCTCCCGAGGCGTCGTGCGTCCTCGACCCAGGAGTGGTACCGTGCACAGTTTGTGTGCCCCTTAAGCCGAACAACTGTGCACCATTTTGCGTTGGGAACGGGGCCGGCGGGGAGTCCAGACATGGGTCGGTGCACGGGCGCTGTTCTTGGATGTCTGTGCTGTTCCCAGACCCCCGACGCCGTGATTTCTTCATAACGAGGGCCCTTAGAGTTCTCGACCTGCTCCCCAGAATCCGTTTTTCATCCCGAGTTGTTGTTTGACGGTCCTGGGGGCCGAAAGTAACACAACAAAACAAAACGTCTGCCTCACATTCTTCACGACGCGAGGAGGTCTGGGCCCAGGGGTCAAGAGCTTACCTCCAGACCAATCCTGGCCCGCGTTTTGGTTCGAATTCCGAGGCGGATCCAGCCGTGGCGACGAGAAGCCTCCCAGAGGCCCCGGGAGTGGGAAAATCGCCCAACATCCTGTACCCTCGAAGTTCGAACCCCGAGGAGGTCTGCGTTGCTCGGTCCTCTCACGGAGGCCGCGGCCAGTTCGGGAGCACCGCCTTGGGCGTGCCCTGGGCCCAGGGTCGGTGTACGTGTGCGCCCTGCAGGGCTGGGCCCCCCATGTGTGTCCTCGCGGCGCTTGGAAGCCGTCAGACACCTCCGGAAGCTTCCGGAAACCGTCGACACCCACCGAATACAGGGCTGTTTCTTCACGGCGCGAGGGGGTCTGCGTTCCCATACATCCGACGATCTGATTGCTTCAATGCGCGGCCCCAGAGGCCCCTCTTCCCTGGGGCCAGCTTTTCGCCCCAGAGCCGTTTCGGAGGGTCCCTGAACCCCCCCGACGGGCCCAGGGGCCAACCTCGAGGGAAACCGCCAGGCATCCCAAAGATCATACCGTCCGAGATCTGGCCGGCGGCGACGATGAGGGCGAACAGCCCAGGGGCGGGCATTACACGTACTTGCCCGGGAGCCTCGTCGAAGGCATGGACCGTCGGCGCCCCTGGATATTCCGAATTTCATAATGAAGAGTGGGGGTTGCAAACCTCCCAGACGAGCCATTTCAGACCCCCCCCAGACCAGCCATGAAAGGCGGGCCTTGAGCCCAGAACTCCTGGAACCATCCACGATGTTTCAGATCAGAACCCCCTCGCAAAGCAGACCCCCCCCTCTGTCATAGTGCGTGTGTTCCTCTCCCTTGGACTCTTCGCCCCCCTCGTCGCCCCCGAGCTGACTGCTCCTCTCGAGGAGACCTTCTTCCGCGGCTGGCCGGGGAGCACCGCCCTGGACTCCCCGCCGTGGCAGACGGTCTCGGCCCTGCGCGAGGGGGGCGGGCTGTGGCGCGGGGCGTCCGCCGCGGGCTCGGCTCGGGACGCCTCGCCCCTGGGGGCGCTGCTGGCCATCGAGGACGCCGCGCCCAGGCGCGCGGCGCTTGCCCGCGGGGGAAAGAGGTCGTGATGGTGCAGAGGTACCGATGGCGCTGCTCGCCCTGGAGAGCCCTCGTCGCGACGGCTGGGTTCTCCTCGAAGTTCTGGTCAGAAGGCACCCGGGGAGAGTCGGGCCGGGCGAAAGGGGGGGATTGGGAAAGGGGGGGTTACGAAATCTGCTGCATGCAGCTGGTTTCGGCCCCACCGAGGGGCCCATTCCTCGATACATAGCCGCCTCCGGCGCCGGGAGGCGCCGGGAAAATCAGCTACGTGAGCTGATTCTCAAACCCCCCCTTTGCTATCCCCCCCTTTCGCCCGTCCCGAGAGGGGTCCAGGGAGTAGCGGTATCTGCCATATCTGTTGCGGGCGAATGATTGCGCTGTCATTGTCGGAGGAGGAGCAGGTATTGATACCGCTACCGCTTCCTCGTTCCGCCGGTTTGGGCTCCCTGGGGGGCCCTCGGCGCCACGGCTGGATGCGCCCCGAAATCCTGGTCAGAACGCACCCCGAGACAGCTCCAGGAGCACTCGGGGTGAGAAGCGGGTCCTGGCAGAGGGCCCCAGGCAGTCACGACGTCGGGGGGGGGATTGGCTCGAGGGGGGCAAATTCTCTGGGGGATGGGCTCGAGGGGGGATTGGCTCGAGGGGTTTCGAGGCTCGAGGTTTGCTGACGTTTTCGTCGGTTCTCTGCGTTTTTTCCGTCTCGGGATGCCTTTAGTGGCGGCACCTGGTCGAGAGCGTCCCGGGGGTGCCCGGATCGTTCCGAACGGCCGCATGCGACCCGAGTAATTCTACCGAGAGCCACGTGGGCTCGGCAACCACAGGAGCAGGAAGTCATGTTGATGATGACACGTTCGAGTATTCACAGGGTGTCCAAGCTTTTTAGGATGACTGCAACTCCTCAAGATTTTACAGATTTCCCAGATGTCGAAGGTTTCCCAGATTCCCAGCCTACTTCCACGATGCTGACACTTCTTTGCGCGGATTCCAGACACCAGGGTCGCTAGATCTTCCTGACTACTCAGGACGCATCCTGAGGCAATCGCATCATGACATCATTCTCGTCTTATGTGAAGACGAAACAACTCCACAAATACTACCTTTCGGGACTCACGCGGAATTTCTGGTCCGCGCTGGGGCCCCCCTGGGAGCGGCGCCTGCGGCGCCGCCCCTGGCGCGCCCCGCGCGTCGGGGGAGGGGGCACAGCGCCGATCCAAGGAACCCGCGCGGACCTGCGACACGTTTGCTGCTCTTCTCCTGGCTGCGTTGCCTCCTCGCGGGGGGCCCTGCCTGCCCTGAGAGTGGCGGTCTTTTGTGTATCTGGCGTTGGTCCGACGCGGATCCGACGTGCATCAGACGCGCGCCTTCGACGCGATCGATTCGACGCGGATGGCGGCGCGGTGGGACAGACAAGGTCCGGCGAAGAGGCAGCATAGGACGACATACGAGAACGGGGTCCTCCGCGCGGACACTCTCGTCGCGTGGGCTGCCCGCGCAATGTCGCGTGAAAGCGGCGCCTTCGCTTTCACGCAGAGTTCTGCGCTGGCGGCCTGTCGATATCGATGATCCTCAGGATGTGTGTCCGCCCAGCGTTACCCCGCTCAGTCCCACTAGCAGCGCGCAGCCTGTAGCGGCACTCAATGGCACTCGAGCGTGTTTCTTCATTGCTTCGGGCATAACGGGCGTTATGGCCCCCGGCCCCCCCCCCTTATAACGTACCCCCCCCCAGTGCGCCCCGGGCACTTCCGCCGTCTGCATCGGGATCCGCATGATTAGGCGTCCGCATAGGAATCTGCACAGGGGTCTGATCCGCAGACGTCGTCGCCGTCGCCGTCGCCGTCGTCGTCGTCGTCGTCGTCGACGTTGTCGTCGTCGCTCTCGTCGTCGACGTCGTCGTCGTTGTCGTGGTCGTCGTCGCTGTGGCTCGTCGTTCGTCGCCCGTCGCTTGTCGCTCATCGTCCTCGTGCGCGCGGACGCGGCTGGAGCCTATTCTTTATCCCGGGTCGATGACGGCCGTCATTTGGGGGGGGCGATGACGTCACGTTTCGCGCCGTCGGCGTCAGGGGATGCTGAGGAATGACCGAGGACGGGTAGCAACAGCATGTATGTGGCGATGTGCACCACAGCGCCTGTGTACACCACAGTGCCTGCCTGCACCAGAACTCCTGTGTACGCCACGCCGCATGTACACCACAGCAACCACGTGCAACACAGCGCCAGTGTTTGCCACAGTGCTTGCGGGCACCACAACGCTTGTGTACACCACAGCGCCTGCGTACACCACATCACCCGTGTGCAACACAGCACCAGTGTACACCACAATGGCTGCGTGCACTACAGTGCTTGTGTACACCACGGCGCGTGTGTGCACCACAGCAACCGTGTGCAACAGAGCACCACTGTTGCAGATATACTGTTCGAGGGAATGCTTATGACAAATTGAGCGCCTGTGGATTCCTCAGAAAGCACTTGTTTTGTATCGGATTTGGAAACGACCGGTGGAATTTACGAGACTTCCCGAGGCCTCCCGCATCATCCTAACTCCTCCAATCTGCGTTCAGGGGGCTCCAGCAGAATTGGCCGTCGGAGAACCAAGTGGACTGATTCAATCGACCATTCTGCGGTGCACGCTGAGATGCGCACGTGCGCTGTAGCGCCGACCCGCATGACAGGGGGCAAAGTGAGGGAAGAGGAAAAGGTTGGAGGAGGAGGAGGACGAGGAGGAGGAGGAGGAGGAACAGGAAGAGAAGGAGGAAAAGGACGAGGAGGAGGAGGAGGAAAAGGACGAGGAGGAGGAGGAGTAGGAGGAACAGGGGGAGAATGATGATGATGATGATGAGGAGGAGGAGGAGGAGGCGGAGGATGAGGAGGAGGAGGAGGAGGAGGAGAACGAGGAGAATGACAAGACGAAGATTCGGAGGACAACGACGAAACATAATAATAATGAGACTAAGAAGAACACGAGGAATAATATCAAGACTATTCATAATCAGAAGACGAATACTAATACTAGTACCAAGAATAATAATACTAATACGGGAAAGAAACATAATGCCAAACACATTAAGGATAATATTGTATGAGGAAGAGGAGGAAGAGGACCAGGCGGAGGAGGAGCACGAGGAGAAGGAGGAGGGGGATTTGGACGTGGAAGTGGAGGTGGAGGAGGAGGAGGGAGGAGGTAAGAACGTCGCATTCCATTATCAGCACTTCCATGGCGTTGTGTGTACCTGTCCGCAGCAGATCCTCACCTGCATGGTCCTTCTACTTGTTTTGTGCACGCCAGCACTGATGTGCACACCAGCTTTGCATCGCATGCGGATGCTGTGGTGTAGACAAGCGCTGCGGTGCGCGCAAGCAATTTGGTGTACCCAGGCGCTGTGTTGCACATGGTTGCTGCGGTGTACACATTCGCTGTGTTGTACCCCGGCGTTGTGGTGCGCGCACGAACTGTGGTGTACACGGGCGCTGCGTCGCGGACGGTTGTTGCGGTGTACGCAGCCGCTGTGGTGTAGTTGCGCGTTGCGGTCCTAGTTGGCTTCGGTCATCCTTGGACATTCCTGGATGCCGTCCGCGCGGAACGTGAGGTCATTTGGGGGGGGGGCCTGGGCCGATGACAGCCGCTATTCGGGAAAGTTAAAGACGGGTTGTCGTGGTGCCGGAGTCACACGGCGGGGGGGGGCGTTACGTTATACCCCCCTCGCCCCCTCCCATAGCGCCCGTTATCACCGAAAGTAAAGAAACGCGCTCCTGCTTGCGTCGCACTGAAAGGTTTCGGTCGACGATCACGCGTTGGCGCCAACATGCGTTCTATCGAGCTAGCCTGCGCCAGTGGCCGAGTAAGGCTCAATCGAGCAACACAACTCGGCGCCTCCCCTCCCTGGCGCGCGGAGCGCGGCAGGTCAGGCGCCGCCAAGGGCGTCCAGCGCCGATATGAGAAACCCGCGTCGACCTCCGAACATTTCTGTTTGTGCTGTTCTTACTCCTTCCTCTACTGAGGGCCATCCTTCCCGCTCCACAACTTAAGCATGCAAGTGTTCTCCTTCCTTCCATCCCATCCCATGTTCTCCTTCCTTCCATCCCTACTTCCTTCATCTCTCCTTCTCTTCCTCCTCCTTCCCCCCTCCCCGGTTCTTACGCTCGTAATTTGCCGATGCGCCGTTTGGGCGCCAGGCTTGACTGACTGACTGGCTACTGAGGGCCATCGAGCCTGCCTGCGTAACCCACCGAGCCAGGCTGAGGGCTGCCGTGCCAGCGCGGCTAAGGCGTCTTTCCCAGACACCCCCCGTCGTGTTTTTTTCGCAACGTGGCCCCCCAGAGGCCTGGACCCCTTCCTCAGGACCAGATTTCCATCCTGAGTCGTTTTCTGACGGTCCTGGGGGGTCCAGTGGTGGCCCCGGGATACCGATCATGGGCGAAATCCATCCGTCCTGACTTCTCCCAGCGAGAGGATGTCAGGGTCTCCTTCTTCCGCAGGAGGCATCTGCACCACCACCGTGCCCGGCTAGGGGTGGTGTAGAGACCCTGCTCTCGAGGCGTATACACCATGCCAGGGCCCAGGGCGGCCCTGGTTAGGCACGGTGGTGGTACACGGTCAAAACCCATGGGAAAGAAGGGTGCCCTGGCATCCGTGCATCTCGGGCCATTCCTTTGCCAGTTTCCACGTCCAGCGGCGTCTAGCTTGGAAGGTCCGAGGGCCTTGCGTCCTTACCGTGCGTCCTTACCATCGCTTTTGGCTGTATGGCTGCCTTCTGTGCATTCCCCCTCGCCGCCCACGGGCATACGTTTCACAAGTTTGAACAGAAGATCTATCTGTCGAGGCCACGGCCTCCACGCCATGCCTTACTGGGCACGGGCGGCCAGCTCCTCAGAGGAGCACGCACGACTCCGGCGTTCGTTCGTTCGTTCGTTGGTTTCCTCGCCGCCCAGGTGGCCCGGGGAGCGCGCCGACGGGTATGGCCCGCTGTGCGAGGGCTGGGCAGAGGGGCGGGCCCGCGGCCACGCCAGGAACGGCGGCGCACGAACAGCAGCTGGGGGGTATCCTGGGTGGGCCCGCTCGCTCTGCTGCCAGCCATCATCGTAGCACGCCTAGGCATGGCCGTGTGGGTGCCTCGGATGCCTGGGCATTTGCATGGGTATGCCTACGCGAGCATCGAGGGATGCGTCCATGGACGTAGCTGGACGCAGCTGGGGGTAGCCGATGCTCAGGCATCGACCTGGTGATGCGTAGGCATCGAGCTGGCGATGCCTCGGCATCGGCAGGAGGGTGCGCAGGGTAGGCATCGATGGTTCAAGGTACCAGAGCCACTGGGCCGTGCCAGGGGGTATCCCAAGGTGAGCGACGCCAAACATCGACTACACGTAATAGGGACCCTTCGCCGGGGTGACCTTTGGTTCGGGCTCACAGGGGCTCCCGATCGCTGAGCTCGATGCGATAGTGGCTGCTTGCGCGTTTGGATTTGGCCACCTTTGGTCCCCTTCCTCCGCGCACTGAAGGTCACTCTTGCCTAGGGTCACTCTTGCATGTAGCCGCAAAAACGGGGTCGTCTGCGCCGGCATTGGCGCGCAAGCTGCCCGCGTAAGATTGCGCGTAAGCGCCCTCGTCTCCAGCGCAGCGTGCCGCGCTGGCGGCCCGCGCAAGCCCTGGCGTAAGGTCGCTATGGCATCTCGCGTGAGGCCTCTGTCTTTCCGTCGTTCACGTGGGGGTCAGGGAACGAACCCAGATCATCCACGGCCAGAAAAGTTCCGTCACGGAGCTCGGTCGCGCCAACCTATCGGCCGCGACCAGAGGGGGCTGGATTTCGGTAACGAAGAGATGTCGCGCCAGGGCCCGAGTGAAGGTTTCGAAGTCGTCGACGGGTCGCGAATTACCGGCCCGCTCATTACCAGAATTCGCGACCAGATGCCGAATTTCGGTCGTGAACGGTTCGTCTAGATCGTTACCAACAATTTATGGTAACGGGTGATTTGAGAACCCAGCCAGGTGTTCATGGCTTCCCCTCTTCCATGGGCCGCTTCGGACGATTTTTCTCTCACCCACCTGTGCCCTCTATCTACGTACCCGACCTCTACACCCCCCCGAAACAACTAATACGACCGAGTGGTTCAGAAACGCCCCGCGGGTGGACGTATCGCAACGTCAGAGGGTGATCGGGTCAGGGGGGTACATCAACCCCCAATCGTCCATTCTGGGCGGATCAGGGCCTGATGGCCCCACCCCGCCCACGAGCTTGCGGCCTCGCTATCGGGGGCTTATCGCCGACCTATCGGCGATGCACTGCCGATTCCAGGTCGATGCTCCGCCCCTAAGCTGGTCCCCCCATACGTTTGGCCCTCAGCCCCACTGGGACGCGGACGGTTAAGTAAGTCCTCCCAAGTCGTCGTCGTCGTCGTCGTCGTCGTCGTCTTCGTCGTCGTCGTCGTTGTCGTCGTCGTCGAGGCCGCCAGGCTGCCGCCAGGGACCCAGACGAGAAGCAACTTTTGGTTTTGAACCTTCTGGTTGCAGCGGCTCGGGCGTCGTTCCCCCCCCCTCCACAGTTTTTTGTTGTTTGTTTTGTCGTGTTCGGATGCTGATGGAGAATCTTGTATCCTGCCAGGTCGATTGGCGCATTGCCTTTTTTTCTGATCTGGGGAGGGCGGTGTGGCCGCGGCTTCTGCGGGCCTGCGCCCGCCGGGTCTGGTCCCGCGGCCGTCTTCGCCAGAGGGTGTTCTGCCAAAGGGGCTTCCGTCCATCCCCGAGCGTTGCCTCGAGCATCATGCGAAGATCGATCGGAATTTGTTGCGTACGTAGCTGCATGCACAGTGTAGCACAGGCGAGAGAGACGGGCTTGCAGCAGGGCGTCCCAAACTCCGCAGCCGCTTTTAGCCTCAGTGGCCCCGTGAGGGGCCGTGATAACAGCACGTATTTCCTGTACACGCGTTTGGGTCCAGGAAAGGGTCCTTGGGCCGCGGGGCCCACACCAGCTCAGGATGGAACGCGGGGTGCACGTCTGGAGCACGTGCAGTCCGGTCGCTGCGGGGCTTGGTGGCAGCCTGTTCTGGGATCTCTTGGCATCTTGGGGGCTTCTTGGTGCCTCTTCAGTCTTGGGGCGCTCTTGTACCGTTTGGCCCCTTCGGAGGCCAGCCTGTGGGACTCTCGCGGCCGCCATGGGGCTCTGTTGGGGTCCTCTTGGGCCGTGTTGGGGGCCTCTTTGGCAGTCTTGGGGGTCTCTTTGGACAGTCTTGGAGCCCTCTTGGGCCGTCTTGGGGCCCTCTTGGGGGCTCCCTGAGCTGTCTTGGGGCCGTTTTTGAGGCTGCTTTGGCCATCATGGGCCTCTGAGAGTCGAAAGCGGCGAGAGCACTAAATCATTGAAACATTTGAGGCAAATCAATGATTTTGGCACCTTTAGTCGTTCAGGGGGGCTTTGGGGGCCCTCCTGGGGCCATCTTGGACCGTCTTGGGGCCCTCTGGGCGCGTATTGAACCCGTCTTGAGCCGGCTTGACGCCTTCTGGGGCCCCAAGCAGCCCACGGGGCTCAAATCACACATTTTCCCGTACGTTTTTGTAGGTTTTGAGGCCTAGGGGAGGGGCTCGGGGGGAGACATAAAAATGCAATCGAATGCAATATGAAGCAATCATGTAAAGATTTGGCGCATTGGATACGTTGCTCTAGGACGGTCGCCGAAAAACGCTGCCGCTCAGCACGTCACCTCCGGACGTGGATTCCATTCGCTTCGCGGGGTGCACGTCCGGAGCACGTACATTCCAGACGTTTTTGGACCTCTGGGAATTTCTTGGGGGGCCCTTGGAAGCCTCTTTGGGGCCTCTTGGGTCCTCGCGGGGGCGTCTGGGATGCCTCTTGGGGGCCTCTGGGAGGCCTCTTGGAGGCCTCTCGGAGCCCCGTGTGGGCGTCTTGGGGGCGCTTTTGCGCTCTCCCCCCTCCCTCCTGTTCATACTCCCTCCCCATCCCCTTACAGCGCCAGCTCTAATCATGGGCACCGCCGTGACCAACTTCCACCTGGCTGGCGCTGCGCCGCACTTCGCCCAGGGGGGAAAAATGACAGTACACTCCAGTCGCTGTGTGGGCTTTGGGGGGCTTCTATGGGGCCTTTTGGAGGCTTCTTGGGGGCTTCTTGGAGGCCTCTTAGGGGCTTCTTGGGGCTCCTTGGGGGCCTCTTGGGGGCCTCTTGGGGCCTCTTGGGGGCTTCCTGGGCCGTCGTGGCGTTTTTCTGCCGTCTCGCCCCTTCGGAGGCCGTCTTGGGAGCCTCTCGCGGCCGCCTTGAGCCCTCTTGGGGTCCTCTTGGGCCGTCTTAGGGGCCTCTTGGACCGTCTTGGGGGCCTCTTTGGGCCGTCTTGGGGCCCTCTTGGGCCGTCTTGGGGCCCTCGTGGGGACTTTTTGGTGTGTTCTGGGGCGATTTTGGAAGCTGTTCGGGCCGCAAAGGCGAGAACGCTGAAATATCGCCAAACCAGGGGAAAATCAATGATTTTGGCCTCTGGGGGCGCATTTGTGGGTGCTCTTGGGGCCCTCTTGGGCCGTCATTTGGTTTTTTGGGGCCCTCTTGGGCCCATCTTGAGCAGTCTTGGCGCCCTCGTGGCCCCCCACGAGGCCTAAGAGGTCGAAAGCATAGATTTTCTATAGGTTTTGGTAGGTTTTTGAGCCCCGGGAGGGGGTCTCCATCTTAGGTCGACGGATGTGGCGTAGCCCTTGGGGGGGGGGGTAGGGGGGGAGACATAATAATGTAACGCAATACAATATTTGGCAATTATGCAACAATTGGATACATTGGGTACGTTGCATTATCGCCTCCGCAGAAAACGCTGCTGCTCAGCACGTCACCTCCGGACGTGGACTCTCCAGGTTTGCGCCACATCCGCCGACCTAGAGCGATCTGAGGGTAGCTCGGGCCACCGTGCACGCGGATAACAACAACAAAGAGAGGAATGTATTGAAATCCGCTGCTTTTCTGTAAAATCTGTGGATTTTCGCTTCTTGAGGCTCGAGGGACCACAGTCTCACACGCCGAGTAGAACCCAAGGGGTCGACGGTTTTGGGGGCCCAGTCAGAGCCGCCTACGATCCGATTCGATGCGCTTCGATTCGCAGACTGGGGCCGTGATTCCGATCCGATTGAATGCGGGCCGAATCGCCGGTATCGGCCGGGGCCAGCTAGAGCTGGGCGCGGCGATCCGATTTCGACCCGATTCGGGACGATCCGCTAGCGATCCGGCCAGTTTCGGCTCTGATTCTGTCCGAACATCGGCGCCATCGTTGGGCCCTCTCGTCCCCAGGGCGTCGCGACGGGGAGTGACTGGAATCCCTCCTTCGGGCCCAGCTCGGGGGCAAGCAAGCAAGATGCTGAGTGCGAAACGCGCATGCGCACATAGGCACTATCACGTGGAGTCGCAATATTTATCGCGACCCGCCACGCCATGGCCGAATACATGATATCCTGCCATTGAGCCGGAAGGGCCTGCACACCTTTGGCTGCCTCGCAGGCGTGCTTGTAAATTTCCTGGGGCCACGTTGCTCGTGGGCGCCCTCTTTTTTTCTGGCATGGAGGGGGGAGGAGGAGGGGCTGAAGCGCATGCGCACCGCCCAACGCTGGGGGGAAAGCGGTGGGTCAGCGACGACGAGGGAAGAGGGCGTTTTTATTAAGCTCTGCAGGGGGAAGGAGGGGGGGGGAATGTTGGCGGCCATACGTAGCCTTTCGTTGGGAGGGCCTCTTGGTCGTCGTCCTCCTCCATCCTTTTCCTCATAAGTACCTCCCCCTCCTGTCGGGCCACCAGGTCCGTAGGCTGGGCCTTTCGTTTTGCTTGAGACATCCTTGCAATGCTCCAGGGCCTAGCACAATTCATGATGGAGGGGACGCCGTTTTCCAAATGCGGCTCTCGCAGTCGCGCCGCGCACATTCGTCTCAACAGTCTGCGACAGCTTCAAGAATGGAGGGGGGGAGATGTTCAACATGGCTCTCTCGCCTTGTTGCTGCGCACATTCGCCGTAAACGTTTGAAGCAGCTTTAATGGGGGCCCGCTCGTTTGAACATATGGCTATCTCCGTCGCGCTGCCTGTATTGGCCATGCAAGTTTGCAGTTGAGGGTTGTCTTTTTTCCTTCAGAGTGGGCTCTCGCCTCAGCGACGCGCACATTCGTCTGAACATGTTGCACCAGCTTCGAGGATGGACGGTGGTTCCTTTGCGACATGGGGATCTCGTTTGAGATTTCGTTTCGCCCAGGTGCTGGAAGCCATGCGACGGCTTCGCGGATGGGTTCCTTCTCAAGCGGGGCTCTCGCCGGACGCCCCGCTGATCTGCAGGAGCCCATGTTCACGCCCTCGTCAGCACTCGCCGGGTGTCTGCCCGGCGCCTGAATGGCAGGCCCGCGGGGCGCTCGTCTTTGGATGGGGTGCTGCCTGCGGTGCCAAAGGGAGGCCCGCGGGGCCGTGTGAGCCGGAGGTGGACTCCAGCAGTGGCGAAGCGTCCTGGCTCGCCTACAGAGCCCTACCAAACAATGTTCTGAGAACTTTTTGCGGTTTCCACGAAATGTTCTGAGAACCTTTCTGGCGGAGCATGTCTTGTTCTATCATCTCAGAACCTTGTTTTTGTTCTTAGAAGACTTTTGGGTTCTAAGAACATTTCGTGGTAGGACTATAGGAATGCCGGGACGGCCGGTCCCTGCTCAATGGATAGACCTCCTACCCTGACACGTCGATTAGAGAAATGGCCGTTTTCGGTTCGCGAGAGGGCGTCGCGGCCGTCACTTTTGCGGGTCCAGGTCCGTCGGTTTCGGTCTTAGGGCGTTTTCACTAAAGGGTGGTTTACCAAAGGGAGTTCTGTCCACCGCCGAGTGAGGAGGGGACTTTGGCTGGGAGTGTATTGCAGCATCGTTGATACATTTTGGCTTTCCTTTAGTCCTTCACTGAGATCCGACGTCACGAACAAAAACCGAACACTGCAGAATGCTCGACTGGATCGATCTGTGAAGGTCCTGGGGCCCCAGCCCTCCTTTCACTCCTCCTCCTCCTCCTCCTCCTCCTCCTCCGTCTCCTGCTTCTCCTCCTCCTCCTCCGTTCCTTCTCCTGCTCCTCCTCCCTGCCCGCCCTCTGCTAGAGATCATCTGGGGGGGGTTCTCTGCAGAGGGCTCCAGGGTTATCTCCGGATGGGGGGGTATCTGGAGACCTCCTGGCGGCCTCTGGGGACACTCGGAGCCTGGCAGGGCACAGAGCATCCCCAGACCTCGACGCCCGACACTGTCGGCCACGCGCAGAAGGGGGGGGACGGGGAGGGGGGGCAGGTTTCTTAGGAGTACCCCTGCTTCTTAGAAGGCGCGGGTCTCGTCTGTAGATGTAGGCGTGGGCCGGCGCCTCGGTCTGAGAAGCCTTTCCCCCTACCCCCTACCTCCTTGTGCGCGCCGCCAACCTTGACGGCGGAAGATTTTTTGTCCGTTTTGGGCCTCCAGCTGCCCTCACTGGGCCCCAGGAGCGCGACAAGACGACAGTTGTTTTGTCATGTCGTTTTGTCCCTGGGACCGCCTTCGCATCCGGAGGCGGTTCGCGACTCAGGATGAAGAGCCAGTCCCAGGGCAGGGGTCCAGACCTCTGGGGAGCCACGCTGCGCAAGAGGTCTGGCGGAATGTGCCTTTGGGGATGCAATCAGAGAGGATCGGATGAGTGGCTTTCCAAGGGCCCCCTCTCATCCCTGCCTGCATCGTGCCCCTTTCATCCCTTGCCCCTTTCATCCCCTTGGCTTGCCTTGCCTCCCCTTGCGTTGCCTTGTCTTGCCTTGCCTTGCCTCGCTCCGCTCATTCCTGCATCGTCGGCCCCCTCTTGGCCCTTGTCGCCGGCCAGGTGCCCTAGGATGAGGCTTCCGCCTGGACGTCCGAGGTCCTTGCGCCCTTGCCGAGCATCCCGAGGCTCGTGTCGCTCAGGACGCATTCTCCAGGGAGGTCAAGTTCAGCATCGGTTCAATCGAAGACAGAAGAGGTCCCAGACGCCCCCAAGAGGCCCACAAGAGACCCCAAAACGTCCCCAGAGACCCCCAAGATGCACCCCACGAGGCTCGAGAGGCCCCCAACATGCCCCCAGGAGGCCCACAACGACCCCAAGAGACCCCAAGAAGTTCAGTATCGGTCCTTGTATGTCCATGGTCGGAGACAAGTCAAATCTGGCAGAAGCCAATTGCGTTTCCGTGTAATGTTGCTTGCCCAATCCAGCTTATTTCGGAACATGGGGCTCAATGTGTTGCGGGCAACGTAATCGGGGTTTAACATTGAACTGCATGTGGGATAGTCGGGTTTACTTGCTTCTTAATCGAGCCTACTAGCCTTTATTCGTTCATACGAAGTTGGACTTGCGGAGATCAGGCCATATTAACGTGTATTCAGAGATATCTATGCGAATCTTGATTTAATCGTGGAAGCCAGGGCGAGTCGAGGGTCAGCATCGGGAAGGCTACGACAGGGTCCAGAGAGTTCTAGAACGCTCTCAGAGCGCTTTGGAGCGCTTTGGAATGGCCGCGGCGCCCGATGCATCCTCCAAAGCCGTCGAGTCCCAGAGATCCTCGACTCATTCTTGCCCGACGTCCTTTGCCCTGGCCTCGTCCTTCAGCATGGAGTCGGTGAGCCCTCACCGCCCCGCCCCGCCCTCACCTCGCCTCAGGCGGGAAGCACCTCCGTACCGGATCCACGGCCTCGCGGGCCGGGCTCTGTGGCCGCGGCCCCGGGGATGCCCCGGGCGTTTTTGTTCGCGGGTGCCCCCCGGGCGGAACGCCTCCGTGCGTCTGCGTACCCGCGGGATCGTGCCCCGCAGTCCAGTTCGCGAGGGCGAGGGTGCGGGTGCGGATGTGTTCGCCGTTCGTGGTATCACTTTCTGCGCGACGCTGGCCGCGAGGAAGAGCTGGGACTTCACGTCGGGCCTCGCGTGCTTCGGCTCTGGCGGCTGAGGACGGGAGGGGGCGTTGGCTCGGCACGAAGATCGTTGTAGTCTTTTTTGATGGATCTGTGTTGTTCGGCTAACCTGGGCATCCTCTCGTTGTAACGGCGAAGTCGTTGTGAAAGAATCACGACGGGAGGATGTCTGGGAAGGTGCGAGGTTCGTTTTTGTTGAACGTCGTTTGTTGACCCGCCCCGCCCTCTACGGTCCGCCCGCCCGACCCGCCCCACTGGCGCGTTCGGGCCTGCCCGCCTCCCGGAGGGGGCACGCTCAAGCACGAAACGTCATCTGATGATTTCGTTTGTGAAGGAGTGAATGTTCTCCTGTGCAAAGAAAGCGGCGTCACCCAGTCTTCTTGAGTTTCTCTTGAGGCTCTATTTAGACGATATTGTGGCGCTCTTCGGGGTCTTCGGGGCCGTGTTGGAGCACATCGGGCCCCCTCCTTTTCGGGAGGTCCCCAGAGGCCTTTGGATGTCTCCAGACGTCCCCGGAGGCCTCTATCCGTCCTCTTGTCCGGAGGCCTTCGGAGTTCCAAAAAGGGGCCGCAAACGTAGGACACTTCAGGCGGCGAGGTCGAACGAGCGCTGTGGAGTGCCCTTGCCGTCAGCTTGGCTGCTGGGGAGTCCTCTCCCTCGTGGTGGCGGAGGAGGTTCGGTTGCGCAACCCGCTGGGACAGGGGCATGGTCCCCCACGATCCTCTAGACTCTACAGCCTCGGACAGTTTTTCTCCCAACGCCGTCACGCACGCCCAACAGCGTTGAGGGAATGTCCACACCCATGCCGCCCGCAATTTTGTAGCGAAATCGTGTTACATGTGGGTCAAAGTGAGTATGCATGGCACCGTAGTACTTCAGTTTGTACGCGTCCACCACGACTTGATCCATTCAGTGTCGAAAAAACATGACACATACCACTGTGTGTTGGAACTGCATGGCGACCATAACGGATGTTACCCAACAGACATTCGATGTTTTTTTGTGCAGTCTGCCAGTTCGAATCACCACAGCAAGTCGTGATGACGGCTCAGGCAAATTTCGACTACCAAACCTTGCCAAACCAGGGGACAAACCTTGCCAAACCGGGGGACAAACCAGACAACTTTTGAGGATGTCTCAGGTGGTGCGCACGGCCAAACCAAGCCAAACCAGGCGCCAAACAGGGCAGATTTTAAGAACGTCCCAGGCAGAATGGCCCAAACTAGGCTCCATCCACTACCCTCATAAGTTGCAATGAAAGGAGTGGATCGCCCCAGTGCACCCACTGCAGGCGGAAGCCCGTTTAGAATTTTATGGGGGGCGGCGCTTGGACCGCGCGCCCGCTGATACGGATGGGGTCGGGCATAGAAGCCTTCATTTGTCTTTCGGGCGTTGTTGGGGCCTTGGTGTGGCGTTCGGAGACATACCTCCACGCCTGTAGATGCCTTTTCGATGCTTGTGGGGATCTCGTGGGAAGCTTCTGGAGCCTCTTTAGGGCAACTTTTTGCAATCAATCCTCGATCCCTCCTCGTTCATTGGCCCCCCCCGCCCCCGTTGCCGTGCGCTGGTCGGCCTCGCGGGCCCCGAGGAATTCGCACTGCGTGCTCGTGCCCCGCGCGCGCCGCGGGCTTGCGCCGGCTGAGTGGGCAGCCGCCGTGCGACGCGGCGCGCGGCGCCGTGCAGGGGCGCCGAGAAACAGGGGCACCTGGCGGTCGTGGTCGTGGCACCACCTCGGTCGTCGTGGTGGTGGTGGTGGTCGTCGTCGAAGTCGCCGTCGCCATCGCCTCGGTTCGGAGGGCCTCGGTGTGTACACCACGTTGCTGGGCCGGTCGAGGTGCCAGGAAGTTCGGCGAGGGGATTCGGGTTGTAGGCGCTCCAGCGTTCCACAGGTCGGGAAGCTGGGGCGTCGATACACTGAGCTCCTCGGTCGACGTCCTTGATACACTGCGACGCTGCGGCGACGACTTGGAGTATACGTCGAGCCACTCCCAGCGTTTTCGTTTATTCCTGAAGGTTCCCTGCCTCGGGTTGCGCATGCACACGCGGGAGCGCACGCGCACGCGCACGCGCACACGCGCCCACGCACTCGTACTACTTAGCAATCTTTCGTGTAGGCCTGTATTGTTTTGCGATGGCCGACTTTCGTGCTTCATATTCCTGGCCGTGAGATGCGCCGAGAGTTTGCCCTCCGCTTCTGCTTTCGCGTTGCGGCGGGCGCCGGCTTGTGTTTCTTCCTACTAAAACTGCCATCGGGGGGAGTTTCGAAAACCTCGGACTTTGATGTTCGAGGTTTTCGGCTTTGGGACGTTTTCGTCGTCTCTCGGCAGTTTTCCAGCTTCGGGGTGCTCTCCAGCAGATGCGCATCGCAGAAGGCGTTCCGCGGGCGCCAGAATTTTCCTGAACTGTCGCCAGGGAGCCGAGTTATGACCCGAGAACCGAGCGGCAATGTTAGGGGGGTAGTTATGAATTTATCAAAGCCCTCGAAGTCTCTGACGGCACTAAGAAAGATAAGAGCGAATAACATCTGGATGTTTTCACACCGCTGCGCTGGTGACTCAAGGGCCCTGCCAAGGTTCTGGGCCAAAAGACAGTACGGTCGGAGGCTGCTCTTCGTGTCCCGCTCGTGCTTATAATGTTGTGCACGCTCTGCTACTCTCTTGCTATGCTGTCTACATAGATGTACAGCGTATATCTCACACCCGTCGAGGGGTAAACGAAACTGCGGGAAACGACAGTCCCTAGGTATGAAGCGTGAAACCGAAATTCCACTTATATGAAACGCAAGAACTGTTGCTAGCGAAGCACAGAACACTAAACAACATCGCGCTGGGTGTGGCTTCATTCACGTGAAGCTCGTCTTGGCGTCATCCCTTGGTGACTTCATTTTGTCGTACAGCTTCTGGGTTCCTCCATCTCTATGGTGATCTCGCCTGCTCTCTTAAACCCCTGCGTTTTGTGGCAGAACCGCCACTGGTCGCCCATCAAACAGTAGGTAACTATACTCTGGACTCCGATCGTCCCTGCCGAATCTTCTGGTATTTGTTGTCGCGTTTCTTGTTGTTGCTGACCGTCTCCTTCGCCACGGTCTTCTCGAACTTGTCGCTGGATTCCGTCTTGATCGGGATCGGAGTAGTGCCCTGTTGGTCCACAAGCTTCTGTAGCAAGTAGTAGGTCACTGGCATGGCCACCAGCATACCCATCATCATGAATAATAATGCGTCCATGGCACCTCCAGAAAACCACAAACACTTGACTGCCTCGTCGAAGTAGTACCTGTACTCGGTGTTGTAGCCGTCCTCTGTTTACGTAGCCACTGACTTGCAACAGCATGTTGCAAAGACTGCCAACTGCATTCGCGGTGCCCTGGATGACCTCGTAGCCGATGATGTCTCCAGTCTACGCTTCTCGATGTTCTCCTGCCTTCAGCCCTGGACCTCAACCTACTGACTCTCATTTTCAACCGTTCAACCTCCACCGTCAACCTCCCGACTCCCCAAATCCACCACCAGCTATCGACAATCAACCTTCCACCTCCAGCCTTCGACCTCCACCTACCGGCTCCCATTCTCAACCATTCGGCCTCCACAGCCCACCTTCCGACCCCCAATATCCACCAGCTATCGACATCCAATCTTCCACCTCCAACCTTCGACCTCCACCTACCGACCCCCGGGAGCCGACCATGGGAACCCGAGCTCTCGACTAATGCGATGCCGGTTGCCGATGCGACGTCTGAAAATACGTTCGTGGATTGACATCTGGAGATAGAGTAACAGAACTGTGCAACGAACTCGATGGATTGGATTGGTGGGACGCCGTTACGTTAAACGAGACATGGAGGACCGAATGCGACGAGTTTTGGACAACCGATGGTGGTCATGCTTTCTTGGGATCTGGATTCAAAGACTACCAGCGTGGAGTGGCTATCATACTACACAATAGGTGGGTCAAGTAAGTTGTTGCCTTGAACCCCATCCACGAAAGGATCGCTGATGTATATATATATATATATATGCGAGGACCAATGAAGCTTCGCATTGTGAGTGCGTATTTTTTACACGGCGGGTACGCAGACGAGCACGTTCAATCAATGTACGACACACTACATCAGATCTGCCAAGAGGCACACGCGGCACGCATGATGGCAGTAATCGGTGCGGATTGCAACGCACGCGTTGGCCAGCGTTCGCCGGACGATGCTTGACGTACTCCTGGGGCAGCACGGGTCAATATTTATGAGCGTACGCGGGCAGTGGTTGAAGTAGTGGGCCACAACCCGACAGCTCCGGCTAGCAAGTACAGTTTTCCATAAACGTCGGAACCAGCTGGTCACATACACATCGCCTCAGAAGGTGGACCAGCAAATCGATTCTTTTCTGGTGAACAACAGATTTCGGCGAATGGTCAAATACTGAGCCGGCCTGCGAAATTGCGGATGTCTTGTGTCGTCAGCACGAACCGTCAACAGCCGAATACGAGCAACACCCAACAACGACGCCAGCAACAATCGCGACCAGCATGGCCTCCTACCGACACGACGCACTATCGGCAAGCCCTTTTTGACAAGCTCGACGTGCTATTCCAAGATACGAAACTTTATCTACAGTGCGAGCGCATCGAATAATCAATCAGGGATGTGTTGGTATAGCTGCAGCCGCCGAGCACGAACCACCAGCGCAGCAGCCACCAAACAAACGACGCGGTTTCACAGCTATTCCGACAGAAACGTGACACGCCCACCCACGAGACAGCGGTACGAAACCAGCTAAACAAACGCATCCTCAAAGAGATTTGGACCATCAGAAGAGCAGCCCGCCAGGCCACGATGGGACGCATCTTGTCAGAATGCAAAGACCTACGGCGCATTAGCGTGACCAAATGCGATTAAAAACGCACATGTATCAAAAGCGTGACGGACAAGACTGGACAGACATGGCACGACCGACAATCCATAGTTGACCTGTGTGCGACCTTCTACGAGGAACTATACAACGACATAGCTTGCACAGACAACTCCGGCAGCCAATCTCCCAAT